TCGGTATTGGCGAACTTGACGGCTCACAACTGTAGCCGTGCGTACACGTTTCATCGCATTTTATTCTATATATATATACCATGATGCGTTGAGATTTTCAGAGCTTGGCATAGAGAGCCAACTGCTATACTTAAGACTCTTTTTCTAGGGTATACGATGCGTCTGCTGTCGTCGAATAATTATGGAAATTTAATGCCCATCGATGCTGTTTGCAAATAAGACATCGCTCGCCAATGAGGTTTTTTGTTTTTATTTGCGAATGAGTATAAATAGTCATTTAATCTTCTCAGAGGTGTTTTAAAATGGAAGAACAAAAAAATGCCCATCTCATAAAAACTTATCAATTGTTCTTATTTTTTTTTTGTGTTTGAGTAATTTTAGCAACCATTACTATCGCTGTACACACATATCAACAACAGTTTCGGTCCTGAGCCACGAATGGTATATATTAGTGGAGACGAGTTATTCACCAAACGATTCTACCTATCGAACTGTGTGAACGATTTATTGCAAAGATCGTGCACGACAAACCGAAAAATTGTATTTTCGAGGTGTCATGAGTATAAGTGTTGTGGAAAAGTTTGTCTATTTCCAGCTATTCAGCACTATATGTTTTTCTACACGTACGGCAGCTGCAACAGAGGCAAAGACCACGGGGTATAGCGAACGTGCAGGTAAAAATACCGAGGAGAGCTAAAAGGTGCCAGAGGCGCGCGCGTATAGGTATATATACATACGGGGGAGTCGATGGGCGGCCAACGATAACCAGAGACCGCCTTCCCTCGTTCTCCTCCTCCTCCTCGTCTCTCGCGTACGAGCACTTGTCTTTTTATCTCTTCTTGTCCGTGCGTCATTCTTTCCCTCCACTCTTTCTTTCCACCGGCCACTGCCGATCAAGCGCGCCTACCTGTCTTTCACTCTCTTTCTCTTCTCTCCCACGCCAGCGCGCACCTGTCATCTGCGCCGTTTGCCTCAACGTTGGCTGCAGTTGCCCGGTTGGTGTATACTTACGTAACATGTGTGTGCGTGCGTGCAACCACCGGGAGGCGTAAAACTATACGTACACACATATATACGTCCGTCTTGCAGTTCTTGCTTCCACACGACATTCGTACTTGTATGGATGTACGATTCGAGTGTGTACGAGGATGCGTGTATGCACAAGAGATCGTTTTCTTTTTTTCTCGCTCGGAGCATGGATTTTGAACGTGAAACTTTTTCGTACCGATGACGATTGGTGCTACATGCAACTAATATCCATACCGATCATTACCGATCATAAGTATTTATTTTGTATCGTGTAATCGGAATTTAAAAAATTATAATGCTAAAAAGTCGCAAAAATCGTTATGCCACGATACCGATTTTCTTTTCACTGCTCGTCCGCAATGAACAGTTTCATGCCGTAATTGTAACAAAACTTTCTTTTTTCACTAACCGTTATTGCAGAGCTCAGTGTACCTCTCGCTGTAGAAAGTGCTGTTGCCCCGAAAGCACCAATGAATCCTCTGGTTTCCCTCAAATGTACGTCTACGCTACTACTGCATGACATTCTCGCACGAATCGCTGTTGTTGCTCCATTGACGGGTGAGCCCCGTAAGTATAGGTATTATTGATGCTTCAAACCAGGACTACGTATATCTTTCGCGAAAAGAAGGAAAGAAAAAACAAAGGGGGTCAAACGAGTAACGACGAGAGGAGAAGAGGCCGATGGGGATCGATATCAAGGCTGTGCGGTCGCGCGAGCCATCACACCGGAGCCCACGTAAGCAGTCAGCCGGCAAGCCGCGCAAGATAAAAGGTTGAGGGGGCCGCAGGAGCTGCTTGTCGCGGTAGAGGCCGAGGTTACGTGCAATTAAGTGATTTACCGGGTAACCGTGGCCTGCTGCTCCCTTCCTAAGGTTACATCGCCATCAACTGTCTGCCGAAATAATTGTCGAATATGTGTTTTTTTTTTCTTTTACATTCTTCCGACGTGGAAAGATTCATATGGTATGCGACTATGCGTGTAAGGGTGCGTATTTTCGAAACGATCATCATCCTTGAGTCAATTTAGGCCCAAGAAGTGGGTTAGCGAATAACTCGATTGGGTAAAGCAGAATGTGAGCGTCAAAGCCCAATTGCTGCAAAGACCTGAGTTTCGAATCATTAGCTATATTATATACCTGAATCACAAACCTACGTTGACTCTTGAATCTATATCGATATATGTGTTAAAATATCTGAATAGCTACTTTTTTTTTGTCAATTTAAGTACAGCGCACAGTCCAGATTAGTCGGTGAAATAGTTGTTCGAGGTTGACGTGTGTTTTTGCAAAAGTATAATACCTATACTCACTTACCTACTCCCGTAGGATGATGGAGGAGATGTACATATTATACTTACTCTCGTCCGCGAGAAAAGCCAGACCGTCCGATTAACAAACGGCAACTTTCCGTTTCAGAAATCATTGGGCACCTCTCCGAATTGGCCCCGCCGCTGCTGTTCGTATTCGCACGCGCAAAAACGAGGGCACCGCCGGGGTCGATCGTAGGCGTGGCCGTGGCAGCCATTTCTCTCTGTTCTTTTTGTTTTCTTCTTTACCTCCAGCTCTTTTATTCCGCTACTTCTCTCTTTTTTCCGCAATTTCAGTGTCTCGCGAGGAATCGGAGGGAAAAAACATCGCCACTGGGAGGAGAAAAATCTCGAGGCAGGAGGGGAAGGAAAAAAAACTCTGGCTATTGGATTCCGGCGGAAAAAAAAAAAAAAAAAAGGCAGAGAGGGTGTCTCGTGATGGCACACGAGAGATGCACGGCTGGTGATAATTTGTGCCCCGGTTGTAATTACATGTAGGGCAGGAGGAGGGAAAAAAAAAGGAGGTGCGCGCGTATACCCAGCAATGTGTTTTATCGGGACGAATGAAAGGGAAAAAAAAGGAAACGAAAAGAAACAAACAAGTACACGGACACGAAGAGAAGTTCAATTTTCATAGGATTTATTTTATTTGCTTTTTCGTTTATCTCTCTCATAAATGATGAAAGTTCATTTTATAATCGATCTATGATATATAATACATCGTAGCGTTTCAATTTATACATAATTACAATCGTACACAGATATTATGTTGTACATACATATATATATATACCGCTCACCACTCTCGCTCGATTCGCTCTCTCTCTCTCTCTCTCTATCCTCCTTAACGCTTAATAGTTGTGAAATCGATCTTCTCGCGACTTCCAATTCCTATATACGCTCGCTATACCTATAGACGCCATCTCGCGAGACTCATCTTTCTCGTTTTCTCTCTCCCTGGCCACCCTTTCGCTTCCTCCGTATCTCGGCACACTCATCTTTTTCACGCCGACCCTATTATACGTGAACTTTTTTGTGCGGGTGCCTGTGCAGCCGATCTAAGCGAGAAAGCGCGAGAGGAGCGAAAAATCCTGTGTCACCGGGATGACGTATATCAAAGAGAGGGTCGTCCCGTTCGCTCGAGCGACGTATACCTTGTGCGCTTATTGAGTGAGTTTTGGGGGGATAAAAACTAGGCGCAATGATTTCATATTTACAATGATTACTCGTTATCGTTAACATTATTATTTATTACCGATTACAATCAATACGTTGTCGATGATATATTATAAAGTTTCTTTTTCCCTATACGCATGTATATAATATACGCGACGAAGTAGCTCTGGCGCTCGGAAATCGGGCGCGATTCCAAGCAACGCGTGCATATATATATGATTTCCTTCCGATTCGATTTAACCTTACATCACGTAAGTATATATTTGTATAGTGTATACATGTATATTGTATACATATACTTGTAGAGTGAAAACGAGGAGGAAGCTTTGTCGTGCTCGCGGCTGCAGTCGCCCGCTACTGGCCGCTTTAAATATTTTTTTTTTTTTTTTTTTTTTTTTTTTTTTATGTACTAGTATTACTAACTACAACTCGTCCTTCTTCGTCATCATCACTTTGAGTATTTTGTGCACTGGTTTTGTCAAAGTACATGACACACGGTTCACCGAAACGAGAAAATCCGCTCGAATCTATAATCCTACGTAAACGCGACAAACAGTAATAACATCTTCTTTTTTTTTTTTTCAATCATTGACTGCGCGCAATAAATAAATAAATAAATAAATTTCAAACACCACATACGTATATATATATATTATATGCAACGCCTCGCGGATTCCAAAGGAAAGAAAACACGGAGTGAAAAACGTCAGTATATAGCGATGCATTAAAAAGCGATTGATCGATCGGTACGGGCATGTGATACATACGGTCGAGCCAAGGAAGAAAATTTTCTCGTTTCGATTAACTCGGCTATTAATCCGCTGGTGCGCAGCGATATAGGGGGGCGTTCCCAATAATGGAAACAATAAATAAAATCAATCTATTCTCGCGTGCATTCCATACATACATATATATATTTATATGTGTATGCATATAAATGTGTGTACCTGTGTTGGTGTAGAGAGAGAGAGAGAGCGGCCGGAGACGCGCCGTGTTCGTCGAAATAGCCTTTGCCCGCGCGCTTCGTCACGGCGTTTATCTCGCGCGACCGATCGCTCGATTCGAACGACCTTTTTGTATTTAATTTATATTATGCGCCGCGAGTTGCGTCGATTCGTCGCCTCGGACACTCGTGTTTTTCATTTTCTTTTTTTTTTGCGCTGAGATATCTTTTACTTGTTGTTTATTTCATGTATATATATATTCAAATACACAATGTTAACAATCTTAATACGCGATATACATCGATTAGGTGTAGGTATAGTATGTACAATGAATGATGCTAATTTATATTTATGTATATATCATGACGTATAGTCAATGGGTTAAGTAGACACAGTGAATAATTTGATTCTTTTTTTTTTGTTTTTGTTTTTTTTTTTTGTTCGCACCATTTGCTACAGACGATTCACGTTATCACAATGACGACAAAAGGAGACAAGGGGCCCTCCCTCTCGCTCGTTTTGGAGATACTCGTGTTATTTTTATACTCATCGATCTTCCCCGCCTCGTTAAAATCCATCGAGTGATCGCGCAAAGCTTGCAAAACCAACAAAATTTGCATGTACAACACAACTAGCTGGGCGCAATCGGACATACCGATATAGGATCATTCGCGTATATGATACAGCGTAATTTTAACATCGTTTATACAATTTTCATTAGACTACCATCGGGTGTCAGCCGCGAAATAAAAAACACACCGATAATAATTATATATTGTGTCATATGGTGTATATGTACAGAACAACTGACCGCCCGGTAAGCCAGGGGCCAGCGCGACCAATCATCGGACTCTCATCCACACGCAAGATACAGCGACACTCATACATCACACGGTTTATTGCACGAATCAGTTTAAACAAAAAAAAAGAGGAGAGAGAGAGAGAGAGAGAGAGAGAGAAAAAAAGAAGTAGGAAAGATTCACTAGTCGTTATGAAATCGGCGTAACTCTATCTCACGGTTTTGGCATCACAGCAGTGCAGGATAGTCGTCCCGGCCGAGCGGCCGGAGCAGCCCCGGGAAGTAAGGTCACGAGCCGCCGCTCGACGAGGACATGACGGACGGGAGATCCCGGTGTGCCTGGAGGTCGCGCGAGTGCGCGTCCCTGACGACCCTCGACGAGAAGATTCTCTCGCAGCCCGGTACCGTGCACCTGTTGCTGCCTCCACTGATCTCATCCCTGTCCCCGAGACTCGACGGCGAATCCGGCGAGTCGGCGCGCCTCCCGTCCTGCTCGTGGCCCAGCCTCGACAGTTGGCTCAGTTGGCTGAGGTGTTGGTGGGTCAGGCCGTTCAGACCAGCCAGGTGGCTGGCGAACGCCGAGGCGGACAGCCCAGGAAAGCCAGAGCCCAGCTGACCGGGACCCATCATCAGCGGGTGGGGTGGTGGAATCCTCGCCGACAGCTCCATCCCGGGCAGTGGACCGTACACGGCCGCCAGAGGACCCGCGTCCGCGTACAGCCGTGCCAGGAACTCGTTGTGCAGGCTGCCGTGCACGGGATTGGTGGGCAGCTGCTGACCAGCCGGCTCCTCGGAGGTTATCGGGTTGTTGGGCAACAGAAGGTGAACTGGTGGTGGCGGAGGTGTCGGCGAGGTGGACAGGAGCTTGCGGTGGAGGTTGGTGTTGACGGCGTGCCTATCCCGGCTGCGCTTCGAGGGGAAGGCCGCGTTGCAGCCCTCGATGCTGCAGCGGTGCATGAGCTTCAAGTGGACGTTCTGGTAGTGGGTTTTCACCCCGAACACGTTGCCGAAGAGCTTGCCACAGGCGGAGCAGCGTCGCGGGTTTTCCTTGTCGAGGGGCACCTCCTGGCCACTGCTCACAGCGACAAAGCCCCCGTTCTCGTAGCGGGCGTACGCTATGAGACTATTGTCCGTATCCGTGGCCGCTGTGGAGGGCGAGGCGCTGGATGAGCGTGAGCCACGAGAGCAGTTGTCCGGGATGCTGTCCAGCTGCTGCCCCGTCGGGGGGGAACTGGTGCGGCTGGCGGGGCTGGTAGAGCGACGGCCAGACCTCGAAGCCGGCCTCCCCTCCTCCTCCCCCTGCCCCTCTCCCTCCGCCGTCTCCGATACACTCCTTATCCTCCTTTTCTCCGCCTCCGCTGGCTCCTCCCGCGCCGAGCCGTACGTGGTGTGACCCTGCGACAAGGACTCGAGTTGACGCAAAGCATTCGAGGAGTCGAGGGATAGGTCGCCGACCAAGCTCGGGGCACGGGAGCTAACCAGAGGGGGCTCACCTTCTTGACGCTGACGCTGCGTCCTTTCGGCCTCTGTCTCGGCCGGTGACGATTTCGCCACCACCGCCTCGGACTCCGTATCCTCGCGTACTTCGCTCGCGTGCCTGACGTTGCCACGTTCCTCCTCGCCACCAGCCTCGTCCTCCCCTTCCTTTGGCTCTGATGCATCCTTCGACTTGTCCGTCTCATTGGCTTCTTCGTCAAAGTCCTTCTCAGAGTTTTTCCGCCTTCCATCCGAACCGTCCGACTCCCGTGGCACGCTATCCGACCTTTTGACCGACAGATCTTGCGAAGACCCAAGCCTGGGCTCAGGACTCGCTATGCTCCTCGGCGATCTGCTGGCTCGTGAGCTCAGGTCCCTCGGCTCGACCTGTTGCGCGTCGCTGTTTTCCGTATGGTTTCCCATTGCTACGTCCCTCATCGAGTCGGGCGATCGCGATCCAGAGTCGTTGTGGGCGAGGAGTGGCGAGGAGAGGCTGCTCTTCCTGGCCTCGAGTCTCGACATCGACATGTCCTCCGGTTGGTCTTGGAATACCGCTTCATTGGACGAGTCGCCGTCCGTCGAGGACGAGTGCACCTCGGCTGGCATGGCGCACCTCGTGGGGTGCTGGGACTTTCGCTTCCTGACCCCCCGGTTGTTCAACACCGCGCTTATCGAGTGCGAGTTGCCCGCGAACGGGTGGTGCTCCGCCGCGACCGAGTCCTCGTTGTCCTCGTTGCTGTCGGCGTTGCTGCCCAACTCGTCGTCCCCGTGATCGCTCAGGAACAACTTGGGCCGCTTGGCCAGACTGAAATCCGCCGGCTGGTCGGCACCATTGCCCCGCTGCAGACTCGCCAGCTGCGTCGGCAGGATCCCGTCGTCCTCGTCGTCGTCGTCACCAACCACCACGATACCCCCATCGTCGTCGTCCTCGTCGTCGTCATCGTCATCCTCCCCATCCAGGGTCAGCGATCGATTCTGCGACGAGGGCGAGACGGCCGAAGCATTCGACCCACTCGACGCCCTCGCCGTCAATTGACTGTTGGAGTTGGCCACTGAGGTGGAGTATGCAGGCGGCCCACCAGTGGACACTGTCGTGGCCGCCGTGGAGCTCGGCACCGACGGAGCCACCGCTTGCCTCTGCTGGGCAAGCGCCTCCTCGTAGGACCTGGGCACAGGCGCGCCCGAGAGGTCCAGATGCTTAAAGTCCATGGTGCAGAGCGACGCCGGCGAGCGTAGGTCGGGCGGTGGCGTCAACAGGGGGAAGGTGCCGAAGGACAAGTGGTTCAGCCCGGTGGGGGGCAAGGGTAGGCCGGAGGGGGTGGGCAAGACCAGGCCGTGGGCCATGGACGAGCGGCCGTCGTGGGGCGAGATCTTTCGCCTGAGGTGGGGCGAGTGGAGCTTCGGGTTCGGATTGGCGCTGTGTCGGTTGCGGCTACGCCGCGAGCTGAACATCATGCTGCAGCCTTTGACCGTGCACTGGTGCATCTCGCGCAAGTGCACCGCGCTAAAGTGGATCTTGAGGGCGCCCTTGTCGCAAAAGGTCTTTAGGCAGACGTTGCACTGGACGCGTTTCTTGCCAGTCGCGGGGTTGATGAAGGGCGTCCCCAAATTGGGGGGTATGTTGGCCGAGGCGCCCCACTGATGGCGCTTCGTCGGCGAGTTGGGCTTGCGCCCGGGAACCCCCGGGGGCCGGCCCAAAGACGCGTGCTGCTGCAGCGACAGCTGAGCCACCGCCACGTGTCGCTGATGATGCTGTTGTTGTTGTTGTTGTTGTTGGCCACTTAATTTCGCGTGGTGGTGGTGGTGGTGGTGGTGGTGGAGGGAGTTGGCCGTCGAGTTGTCCTTCCGGCTGAGGTTGAGGGCGCTGCCCGAGTTCTCGTCGTCGTCATCCCCGTTGTCGTCCTCCTCCGAGCCAAAGTCGCTGCTCTTGTCACCCGTGCTACGCGCGTCGGCGCTCGATGGGCCGAAACCCGAGGCAGCCTTGGTCATGACGGAGGCCGGGTAGTGGCCCGGGAAGCTCGGAGGCAGAGCACCCGAGGAGAGGGGATGGCCGAAGCCCAGCGAGGACGAGGAGACGGGGGCCACGGGCGGAGCGGGCCTCAGCGCGGTCGGGCTGTGCGGGCTCTGAGGTTGCTGGTGGCTGCCCCGGTTGCTGTTGGTCAGCGACGACGAGCCCCCGGTGGGCTTGCGCGAGGAGGCGGACATCAGTGAGTCGGCTACGGTAGACGGGGGCAAGGCCGGCATCGGGGGAAAAGCCGGCAATCCGAGGGTGCCGAGCTTCCGGAAGTCAAAGGGCTGCATGCTTTGCAGGCGATTGAGGGGCGAGGTGAAACTCACGGCGGCCTCGAGTCCACGGGGCGGTGAGCTGGCCCTGCTGGCGGCAACGGCCGAACCACCACCGCTCGAGGAGGAGGAGGACGACGGCGGGTAGTGGTGGGGGTTGTGGTGGTGATGGTGCTTGTGGTGGACGGGACTGGGCGGCGAGAGCAGCGGGTGGTGGGCCGCCAGGGAGTGCGGGGGCAAGGGTGGCGGGAGTCGGGAGCCCGGGGGTGGGAGGCCACAGTGCAACAGGTGCAGCGGCGGGGGCAGGTGAGCTAGCGGCATCGTCGGGGGCGACGGTCGCCTGCTCGGTGACATAACATCCGCGTTGCTGTTGTTGGTGTTGTTGTTGCTGGTGCTGTTGTTGTTGTTGGCCGGGCCGCCACCTGCGGCTAGCAGGAGCTGCTGCACGAACGGACGCGTCTCGGCGAATCTGAGGAACTGCTGCAGCACCAGCGGCTCCTCCTCAGCCGAGCAGATGCTCCATCGGTCCAGCACCAGGCCGTTTTGCGAGTCCTGAAACACATTGAACAAAGAGCCCTCATTAACCACGGCGTTCAACTAAAGCGTTCGATTCACTTCGGATACTTGGGAAGCGTTACAATTGCGAGGGAAGAGCGTGTAAGTGTAGGGGAGATCTGCGGTCGAATGAAAAATTGTAAATTTGTTTGACGGCCGGCCCCCGCAGGCGGCATTTATTTTCAGCCTCGGCAGGCACTCGGGCGTACTTTCCGGTAAATATTTAACTTGAATGTCCTCGGCGTGTGCTAACGTTTTGACGGCATCGGAAAAAAGAAAGGAAAAAAAAAAAGCCGCATACACTCGCGCCGCGATTACGCGGCTTATTTTTATCCGGCACGAGAGGCTACAGAGAAGTAAATTGTAAGAGGGTCTTCGAGTGGAAGGGGAGAGAAAAAAAAATGAGAAATCCAAAATATACCGAGGCGCAATCTTTCGTGTATAACACGTGTACAGCGAAGGGGTGGGTGAGGCATCCGATGCTTAAAGAGGAAGACGTCATCGGGCGCCAGAAGCTCGACACACGGAGAAACTAGATTGTGATGCCAGAACAGCGCGAGTGTATACATTATACACGATAAAGTGTAACAGAAAGTTTGTCTCTCGCGCGCTCCTCTCTCTCGTGAATGTTTACGCATACCACCGAGCTTTTTCGACGAGAGACGCGCCGTATCGCGCCGACGATTTTTTGTGTATTATCTCTCCGGGTACTTCTCCCGCGTTTCCCGATCAAAAACTCCGGAGAAACGGCGGTTTTTTTTTCCCCCCGGTGCAAGAAAAATAAATTCGCCAGTTTTTCTTCGCAGGAGTTACACGCGTCGGATTTTGAAATCGATGAGCGAGCTTACGCAACGCGTCTGTTAATGCTGAGTGGAGATTTTTCCCGATATACCTCACGAAAAAAAAAAAAAAAAGTAGCCTTTGATTATTCCGCGTGTGATTGTTATTTTCTCGATCGTGACGGATGATACTTTTCAATTTCAAACGGTTATGCGCTTACAAACTGATATGTTTGAAGAAAAAAAAACGAATGATTTTATTTCCGATCGCGAGATCAAGATCCGAGACATGAGCCGCGAGGTATGGAGATATGTCGAAATTGACCTATTTTTGGGGACTGAGATGGAATCGGGAGCGGCAGCGAGTCAAAAAAGCATCGATCCTTCATTCGTCCCGAAAGACAGCGGCGTCGCACACAGCCAACGCGAAAGAAACAAAACGAAGGGGAAAAAAGAAAGAGAAAAGAAAAAGTTTCGAGACACAAAAAGGGACCCGCCTCCCATGGCTCTCCATACATGAATATCGTCGGGCTACCCAAAGAGGATACCCCAAGCTCGTCTTTTTTTTTTTTTTTCTATGGGACGCGTAACGCGTTTCGGGAGCAACACACGGACTAGCTGAAAAATTCCGCGAAACGAGTAAACTCCGCTACGCCACTGTTTTCGTTACGTAAACGGGCATAGCGATGGTCCACATAGTCCCCTCCGCATAAAGACACGATACATGGGACTCTAAATTTTCAATCTCGCACGCGAATGGGGCTCGGGTGTGTATAGGTTCGTCACGCGCGCGACAAGAGGATCACCGCGGCTGAAGCGATATTAGTGGAATTCGGGTCGCGAGGAGAGACGCTTGCATTGCACGTACACACACGCACTCGTGCGGAGGGACGTGAAAGTTCGGTTTTGAATTTCCAAGCGCGAACATTACGCGGTTAATTATTAAAGCCCCCGTCAGGTGTTATTAGCGCGCGTGTAGGCAACGGAAATTTAAATGACAGCTGTTTGCCACCGCACTCTGCGGTTGCGTATACACGTGTCCACGCGGTTGGGGCTGCAATCGATTCGGAATCAAAGAAATGAAAATGGAGGATTTTCCAAAAAACCTGTTGTTCCCTCGGTTTGTTCGAAAAAAAAAAAAAAGAATAAAAATGTGGGGAATCGCGAAGTACCGATCTCACCCATTGTAAGACTGTAAATATGACTGATACACATTTACATATTGGCCTGGACATAATGTACATGTATCGTATATAAAAATCTCGATATATCTCAAGCAGCACAGCGGCGCTCGTTAATTCGTGCCGCGCGGAAATTTCGAAAAATCATTGTCCACTTGGATCGGTGCGGTTATCTGACAAAACGCTCGGACACCACGTAGATGGTGTACAATGTATACGTGTACACGCGAAACACGTAGTACATGTAGGTAGAAACAGTAGCAGCAAAGCCTCGCGCAACCAAATCTAATCTCTGCCTATCTCCCTTTCCTTCTCCCCTTGCGAAAGAGACGCGCGAAATTTACAAACAGTTCGGCCGCCACTCACGTGCGTGCGGTCGTGCGCACGTATGTGTGTGTGTGCATATATGCATTGCGAAAAACATAATATGTTGTGTATATACGGCACGCGCCTCCACCGGCATCGAGAGATGCATCAATAAGTATATATCCATGTACTTACACGGAGGTAACGGTTTTGTGGCGACAGGATGGACTTGCCGGGCTATAATGTAGGTATATACATATACTTATGCGAAAGGGGTAGGAAAATAAAACAATTCATTTTTTTTTTTTCCGTACCTTGTACGTCATGATACACACACAAAGGAGTGGAGGAGACTTTTCCTCCGATGAAACATTTTGTGCGGAAAAGTCCGTGGAATACGTTTGTAATGTGCGCTGGAGTAAAAAAGGAGACTAAAAATGAACTAACGATACGTGAACGCGAGAAAATTGAAATTATTGTGACAATGAATTCAAAACGCTAAGAGGTGCAAGAGCGAAGGCGAAAACGTTATATAATCCAATTTTCCTTTTTAAGCAACGCCATTAGAGGTATACCGTTTACAAAGTAAACTTTCCCGACGGCATCGCTACCTATAATAAGTAAGTACTTATATATACCGCGGGTATATAATAGTAGCGGCACATTAGAAGTGAAGGGGAGCCAAGAGCGTTCCAGCACGTGGCGCCACCTACAGGCGAGATAGCCAAGCAGTACACCAGCAAACTATCTCTTTTTTCCCCCCCTGTACATTATATGTATAATATATTATGTATATACGCGACGAACGGTAGCGGTGTATATTTACAACGATGCAACGGTGCCGCCCGTGACTGGACATTGCATATGATTTCACGCACGGCGGGCTCCGGTGTCTTGCGGCCGTGTGTAGAAATCGTGAAGATCTCGCCTGGATATCCGCTTTTAAATTGGATTGCAGACACATACCCGCACACCAGGTCTTTTCTATTTACCCCCCACCCTTCCCTTCCCCAACGCATCACGCGGACTGTGACTCCTCTTTCACTTTGGGTGTGCACGAGGTATTGTATCTCCCGGCTCCCGGTGCCATCGGTCATCCTCTCCCTTCGAAATCCCCGTAAAAAGACACTTCACTTTACGCTCGAGCGTGTCTTCTTCACGTATTATGCGATAGAACGCCGAGGGACAATGCGATCCTTGGATCCGATAGCCGCGGGGCCTTGCCGTGTTTACATTTCTTTTGTACTCGGTGCTGCCGGCGTGTCCTCGAATAAAATTCGTTGCGTCAACCAACGTGGACTTTTTTCTTATTCCGAGGCTGAAAAAGGAATTATTTTCATCCTCCGATGAGTTGAATGAACGCGTCTACTTAATTTTTTCCACTTCGAAAAGGTAATTTCACGCAGTTGGAGACACTCTGGCTACCGGCTGTTCCCCACGTTACGAAGGTGCAGGTGTCGCATTTGAAATTCAAAAATCCATCTAATTACAGCGACACGAGTATTTATGTATTTCCCAAGTGTCACGGTGCGCTCTCCCCCTCTGTCGAAAAAGGGGGGGGGGCCGCGACATCGCCGCACCATACACAGAGCAAAGATGCTAATCCAGGGCGTACAATCGCGTCCAAGAATCGCTCGCATTCCCTTTTTTTTTTTTTTTTTTGCTCAAGCGTGCTCGTAACGCTACTTAAGTACACACGCGCAGCGAGAACGCGTAGGTATATGTATATTTAGGAAGCGGAAACGGAAGAGACCGCCGCGTGTGACGGACAGAGTCTCCTCGTTCGTGGGAAAAGCCACTGCACGGGCGCGTGGATTACTCGGCTTAATTTAATTGTTCCTCCTTTTTTTTTCCCTCCTTTCGCTCTCGCTCGCCTCGGTGGGCCTCTCCGATGCGCGCGTGCGTACACCCCCATTGTTCGCCCCGATTACCGTGCCAACCTTTTTTTTCCTCCCCCCCCCCCACGGCATATCGCGGACTCGGGAATCCCGCGGCTTCCTCGTTTGGGCGGCAGTTCATTTGTTTTCGCTTTTGTCGGTCGCGACGCTACTGATGGCCGACGTTTCGTAAGAGAAGGTTGAGAGAAAAAAATGCCCGGCGCTTGTGCGACTCGGATGGTTGAGTCGCGCCTGGTATTTGTATTGTCTCGTGCACGAGGAAGCCGACGGCCGATGGCTTTTCTTCCGCATCCGATTTCACCGCGAGTGAGCGATTGCCACCTCCGAGATCTTGAATGAAATTTATTTGATCAACTAGGTATGAACTCGAGGTCCTTTGTTGCAACGCGCATTTGCATCATGTGAGGGACGGTCGTGCGTTCAGGGTTACACTGGCTTTATAATAACTTTGCTCTCGAATCCCCATAAAAACGAGACAATTTTTGTTTTTCTTTTAATATAGTACAGCCCTCTCTTTTACTTTCCACCGTCCCCGGTTGTAAAAACCGTACACAGGCATTAGAAGCTCAGTGGCAAAAAAAAGTAAGAGGAGGCAATTAACCGCGAGGGCTCCCTTTCGTTCTCCTCTCGCCAGCACATTAGCACTTTTTGTCGCTCATACGCAGCCAAAGCACTGCAGAGACAGGAAGCGTTCGTGTGTAACATACCTACAGGTGTATATATGGTTAGAAACTAGCATACGTATACGGGTAATATTATAGTAGCTCGTCACTCGGAGCTTATTACCGCTCTCTGATGTCCACTCGTCATCGCGCCTCTTTTACAACCACCAA